CAGTTTTCAGTATTATTGGCATCCTGGACCTTTGCTTCTTGTTGTTTAAGCGTGCTTCTGCAGGTGTGCTGCTGTCAAGGAAAACATAACTAGATAACATTGAAAAAAAAAAAAAAAAGTCAGTGCAGTCAATGGATACGAAACAGGCAAACTGGGCCGGTGTGACCCCGTCTGTTCGGTTCCACCACGCAGAGGTTGGTTGGCGTTTTTTTTCCCGTCCCACGTGAAACAGCAGCACTGCGGCCTCGTCTCTTGCCTTCCAGTACGGAGATGAGATGGGAGAGTCTGTGAGAGCGCTCCGGGATGACTTCCAGAATCATGGAAAACCAAAAAACAAGATTTCCAGTTCTCAGCGAGTCTGACTCCAGTGGTGAGTGATTCCACGGAGGGTCAGGACAAGGCCGTGTTTTTCAGCTTTCGTGAATCGCTCGGCAGAAAGAGCAGCTCAACGAACTGAAGACATTTCTGCTCCCCTCTTTGATTTCAGTCAAAAAAATACAAATCCATTTTCTCCGAGAGTCGGCGCGATTCTGGTTTTCGTTCATCCTCTGGTTGCTCAGAGGCCGCGGAGGCAGAGTCAGTGCACATGGGGATTAAAAGACCAACAACGCTCTCCTTCTCATCCCACACATTCTGTTGAAGTCATCTTAGATTCTCAGTTTTTTTTTTTCTCTCTAACAACAATTCAGTGAGTTTTAAGACATTTTCTCCGAGAGAGAAGAACAGAGCATCATTCTTTGTAATAACAACGAGAAGAATTATTGTCCTCTTAGTAGAAAAAAAGGGAAGAAAGTGTCGCTGCGCATTTCTGTCAGGTAGCCTGCGGAGGCGGCAGGCGTCTCGGTTAGGGTGAGATGCAAACACCCGCTGAAGGAGAGCCTGAGAGTTGCAGAAGCGCCCGCTGACCGAGGCCCCATGGGTGCACCGAAACACCCAGCGTCCGAGCCCTGGGTTCGATTGTCAGCCATGCTAGAAGTCAATCTGTATCAGTCTCTCTCCTGCAGATTTGGCTTTGTTGTTTTCCTCACATAGTTACTGAAGCTGACTGCGGCAGATGATGGTTTCTTAAAGTCCGTGTATGAAAAACAGTTAAAAAACAAAGGAATAAAAGTTGAGTATTTGATTTCAGAAGCTGGTAAAGCACAAACGACTGACTATACGGATATTTAAAGTTTCCCCACTGAACTAACTCCTCACCCGAACCTTTGTGGTTTAAACACTGAATACAGAGAAAGAAAAAAAGGTGGCGTCGTTGGTTTGGCAGTGTCCAATCCCCCAGAGCCACGTGACCGCAGCCGGAGGTCACCGGGATGATGCGTTCAAAGACAGGTGTGTGAACTGTTTCCTATTGCAAGTGTGTGAGTGTGTAATTTTTTAAGAAAAACAACAATCTAGCTACTCCTCGTTTTCCTCCATTCACCCTCGTCTTCTCCGATGGAAGAGCCGTCGGCCCGTTTGATCTCTGCGGCCCTCTCAGATGGATGCGCTGCCCTGCAGGCGTCATGGCTGCCGACTTGTTTTTTTTGGATGGGGTGAATGAGGCGGGCGGTCGGCAGCTCGACTGCCCATCCCTCTCTCCTCCGAACTCTCCTCCTCCTCCTCCTCCTCTTCTTCCTCCCCCTGCTTCTTCCCCTCTCCCGCTCATTTTGTGTTCACCCTCAGATGTGCCTCTTCATGTGCAGGGCCAGGTGGTCCGACCGAGAGAAACACCTACGGGGAGGAACAAAGAAACCGTGCCAGAAATATTAATGCTCCATCCAAAGTACGCATGAAATTACATGAAAAATATATGAAATGAGAAAAAGTCAAGAGGAAAAGCCATTAATATGTAGAAACTGAATTTTTGCAGCAGAAAACAAAAAGCCATGAAAATACAAACATGTGAATGTAAATACATGTAAATTTATACAACTGACAATAGATGTGTACAAAGGCCGAATAAATCCCGTTTTGCTGGAGATGTTCACTAAATAACCATAATATGTCAGGTTGGCAAGTGTTGCTGATTAGTGCCTCGGGCTCTGTGTATTAGCTGCGAGTGTGCCACACTCCCTGCCCCCTTTAAATCCCCACCGGCTCTGTGTATTTCTTGGGAACTCTCCATAATCCCAGGCCCCTTGAACCTCCCACTGGCAATGTGTATTTGCTGGAAATGCTCCACACTTCCAGCCCGCCGCGCTCAACATCGTCTGTGTGTATTCGCTGGAAGTGCTCCACACCGCTGGGCCCATTGAAACATCACTGGCTCTGTGTATTTGCTGGGACTTCTCTTCAGTTCCGAGCTCGCTGGACAAAACCACAGTGAGTTCGGGTTTAGCTGATTCGGTCACTTTTGGTTTCAAGCCTGAAGTTCAGGACAGCAGGAAGTCACTGGTCTGCAGACCTCAGCCAGGAGACACAGTCATTTTTAGATTTATAGAATGAGGAGAAGTAAGAAGAGTATTTCAAAAAACAGAATCTGGAGGAATAAACCAGCTTTAACATTTACGTCCACAGTGAGTTTCACTCACAGTCTTATTTCATTATGACAAACCAGTGGAACCAGACGTGCGAAGACGAACACAAGTGAAACACCTCCATGAATCACAGCCAGAGCTCCACAGCTCTGCAGTCACTCCTCCAGCTCAGAGAAAAATACTACTGTGGAACCTAATTAGATATGTATTGTGAACACAGACACTAATGCAGACGGGCTGGCCACGCTGTCTGATGCCGGGCCATTAAACTCTGCAGCGCCGGCACCTGGTAAGAGATAAGACACAAAAACCAGGTGCTGCTGAAGCACAATGTAAGACTCACTATGTCATGTCTTCATAATGAAGTATTCTGATTTAATTACACCAGCGTGACGACATTAAAGCCGAACACGCACAATAAGATTAATCATGAATGATATGACTAAAGAAGAGGCTAAACAAAATGTGGAGGAGACAAATTAAAAATTCAACTCGCCAGAGGCTCTATTCATTATTAATTATCCGAGGCCACTCTTGTGTTTGCGAGCGCGTGTGCGTTCAGACGGGCTGTTGTTGTATCCAGATACAAGCAGACGGAGCCCAAACACTCAGCAGAGTCCACCGCCTCTCTCCTGCCTTCACCGTGATTCATTCTCTTCCTGTCGCTCTTTAGATCGAAAGGTTTAGTTTGTCCACTCGGAGCTACTGTAAAAAACATGATGTACATATAAAGTATTTAAATGTAATGAGCTTCTTCTAGGGTAAAGAAAACTTCAAACAACTTCATACAATTTAGATGAAACACTCGTGAAAACCTCACCAGGATCACTTTATATTCAATTTCTGCTGAGAGATCCTTTCACCTAAAACTTACACACTGAACCTTTAAATTATTTCTGCTGAGCCCGTCGGGACGAGTCTGGACGGATGCGGCTCGGTTGGTAAAGAAAATGTTTTACGCTGCGTCAGTAAACTTTTTAAATTCAACTTATGTACAGTTGAACTTTGCTCTGTTGTCGGAGTGTTTCCTCTCAGCCGGCCGTGTGGATCCTGTACGTTCCCCAATCTGTGTGTGTGTGTGTGTGTGTGTGTGTGTTGCTGGACAGATGGCCATGCCAGTTACTGTGTCACTGTTGGAGGGCGGAGCAGCCAGACCAGCTGGTACCGCCCCCACCCTCACCGCCCATCTCACACTGAATACACACACACACACACACTCCTCCTTCCCGATCTCCTCCTCCTCCTCCTCCTCTCCTCTAAACTCTCCTTTTTCCTCTTCACTTCTTTTTTTGTCCTTCTCCTCCTTCCAGTTCCATGGAAACATCAGGGGGTCCCCGCTTGATTAGGCAGGATTAATGACAGACTGGTGTGTGTGTGTGTGTGTGTGTGTGTGTGTGTTTCCCCAGGAGAAATACTGTCAGATTGAACAGTCTATCTAATGTTAACCTCTCCATGGTTGCCACTTTTTTGCCATTCTCATGTTAATATTCGTTTAACTCCGCCCACCACAGATGTGTGTACGTGTGTGTGTGTGTGTGTGTGTGTGTGTGTGTGTGTGTGTGTGTGCTACAGTGGTTGTGTTAAGCACGCTTCCATCTACCTTTTTATTACTTTTCTGATTTTTAATGATTTTGATTTAAAAGTCATGATGTGTTCTTCTCGGCTCAGGCAGAAAAAAGAAAAGACAAATAAAGAAAGAAAGAGATTCAAATAAATATTATATTAAATGAAGAATCCAGTTGTTTGGGAGAATGTGTGTTGGTTGTAAACTTTTTAAATCTTTAAATTAGAGTGAACTCATCTAAACTGAAACAGTTGTACAGTAGTTTAAAATAAGTCGTACAGTACATCGACATCAAACAGGTGGAAACTGGCTCTGAATACAACAATACCCATGAGCCTCAGCGGCCGTGGCTGTAGAGGAAAGTCCAAATCAAACCTGTCTCATAGTGTCAGCTTCTTATTGGCCTGTTGATGCTCTGTGATTGGATGGTTCTCTCTGATATGCCTCATGGGAGCTGTAGTTCACTTCTCTCTCTATTCTTTAACAACACACACGTTCAGTCTTTGCAGCGTTGATTCAATCAGGAGACGAATCCAAAACGTCTCAGGGCACTGATCTTGTGTTGGTGACGTTATTTGGAGTCTGTGCATTAGTGATGATGTAGAGGAGCTGCAGCGTGGACGTCCCATCAGTTCATGGGCTCGACCAATTACAAGTCAAGCTCAGTTGTCAATCAGTTGTTTACTATCCTGAACACTTGAATCATCTTTGGGGGGGAAAAAATCCTTTGACATGTCCCCGTCCACTAACATGGAGTGGGTTTATGACTTGGTCTACTGATACAGAAATGTCTGTCCTCGTGTCTGTCACCCAGAATAACGTCTCTCACCCTCACGCAGGCTTTGAAGTCGACAGCGCCTCGGTTGTGACACGGTTTACGTCAGTGTTGTTTATTCAAGAGTGTCGTTGTTACATCTGAGCGTTTAAATGTTCATGTGAGTCAATGTGACTTTGGATCTTAACGTGCTTCCATGCTCTGAAAACGTGTTTCTACATACTGTGCATATATGTGTGTGTGTGAGAGTGTGTGTGTGTGTGTGTGTGTGTGTGTGTGCCAGAAAGGAGCTAATACAGTCCCAGCTCTCAGCCAGGATTAGAAGCTTCCAGCAGGTTTCTGGAGGGTTTAATGTCTAAAACCCAAACTAGAGGGAACCTACAACAGCCAATTACACTGTCTCTAGGGCAAAAGTGTTCGTGTGTGTGTGGTTGAGATAGGTAGTGCAGGCACACACACACACACACACACACACACGTACACACACAGTGTATATTAAAGTGGAGCTGGCATCTGCTGCCACTCAATTAGCTGTGACCAGTCTGCCAATAGCCAGAATCCTTTTAAGTGCCAGTACAGGGGAATGAGTAAGCGGGCGTGCAAACACACACACACACACACACACACAAAAACATACACACACACACACACACCTTGAGGACCAAACACTGAGCAGACAGAGACAATGTGATTGTCTCCAGACTCCCTGGCCTTTGTCCACAGGGAGATAAAGTTTGAAAGACACAACGTCTCATCCTCTCTCTACTCTTTGGTTTCCACCGTGATCACAGCTAGAGACGTCTCAATAGCATTTTCCCAACACTCCACAACTCCTTCCTTTAAATAACGTGAGGTCTTATATAGATTCACAGGGTCGATGCCCGACTCTGTATTTCGACAGGATCAGAAAACTACATCAAGTGTGAATCTGGGAGAACATCCTCCACCAGAGGAAACGGGACTCGAAAAGCTTTTTTAATTTTTCCATTTGAGAACAAACTAAATGTTTGTCTGAGGTGTATTCTCGTGGCCGCCTCGTAACGTGAATACATTAAAAACTTAATTTAATGATAATCATCCTTATCATTAAATTGACTACCTACATAACAAGCTACAGTCTGGACGTTAATCATCCCGACAGATAAACTCAGCTGAACCCTTCATGTACGTCTCTTCTTAACTTCACAACGAGCTATTTGTCTTTAAACTGTTGACTTAATGGATTTGATTCCTGTAAAACAGGAGATCTGTGAAATGTGTGGTAGATAACTGTCTGTGGATGCATGTGGAGCCAGGCTGAATGAAAAATGTTGTTTTATTCATCATCTGTCGGAGCTTCTCTGTGACTCCCTGCTGTGTTGGATGTATTTCCACACAATGCACCAAGGCGAGTTTTTCTTTTTAATAGAAAATATATATTTGTCTTCCTGTGGTTCTGTTGCCAACTGTTGTTTATTATCGCTCCGATGAGAAACAAGGACGAGTTATGCAAAGGAAAGTCCGTCTGTTGTTGCTTTATCATTTTCATCATTGATTATCTGTGTGAGACGAGGAGATTATAAAGTCATTCATTCTTTCCTTTGTCCCTGAGAGACAGAAGATTTACGTTTTAAACAAAACCAACTCAACTTCGCTGCCCACAGACTCTGTCCGTTTCCATACGGTATCTAATGTTGAGTATGAATCAGGTCAGAGGTCAGCTGCACACTGGCCCCGGGTGAAATCGACATCGGCCCCTGAAGTGCCGATGTTCCGTTTTTTTTATTTGACATGAAAGTGAGTCGTGAGTTGTTTGGTTCTGCTCGTTGGGAAACACAAGTTCAACGCTCGTCCTTCACACACAAAAGCGGCGTCGGTGTCCTGCAAATATAAAAACTCACTGTGTGTTTGTCATTGGCTTTGTCGCCTGCGTGCGTGTTTACCTGTCGCAGTGGTTGCACTTGAATGGCTTCGCTCCGGTGTGTTTGCGGTAGTGTCGTGTCAATTCATCACTGCGGGCAAAACGCCACTCGCAGCCCTCCCATGAGCACTTGTAGGGCTTCTCACCTGAGAGAGAGCGAGAGAGAGAAAGAGAGAGAGAGAGAGAGAGAGGCGTCACGTTTTATTTCTACATGTAATTTCACACTTCCAAACTACAGCTGTTCACTAATATAGGTTAGCGCCCCGTGGCTTTTTTTCCAACCCACACACACACACACACACACACACACACACACACA